TGTATACATTCACATGGTTAAAAATACACATGTTATATGTGCATTCGTATTGTAAAAAACAAATATGTAACCCATATATTTTAATAGTTAAAAACACATATGTTACTCGTAAATGAGATGAATGAAGTAGAGAGAAAAAGTTATTTACAGAAATATATCATAAAATTTACATTACAATGATATTATTAAAAAAGTCATTATATAATGACAAAATTACCCTTGAAAAATCCAAGTGTTAAACATATGGTATTCCTTTCATTAATTAATATTTTCTCTCTGTTATTATCCTATGAACTTTGGATAGGAAAAAATGAATGTGATTGTGATACATGTGAAAATGAATATTGATGAATTTTTTTTCCTTATATTCAGTATATATTAAATGTTATTATTATTATATTTTTATCCTGTGTGTGAGGTTGTTCTTAACCATATTTTTTTGCCGTATAGTTAAGAACACATATATTACACGTACATTCATATGAGATAGATTGATTTTGACATATATTTGAAATCATGTAATTATCATTCTTATTAAAGATATATATTAATAATATAGTGTAATAATTTGATAAAATAAAATATATAGATAATCAATGATAAGGATCAAATTTCTTAACATTTCCAATTATTTGAAACCAAAATAGATCGAAAAATGAGTTAGTGAGAGTTGGATTGATTAGAAGTTTGAAATTGTGTTGTGGAGAAGATGAAATCAGTGATAAGGAGAGAGCAGGTTACCCGTGCATATGCACGGAGTGGTATTTGAGTAAGTATATAGTATGTGGAGTACTTGAGTGCTTACTCAAAATTAATTTAGGGAAATAAATGAAGATTTTTTGAGGAAAAAAGAATATGAGAATAAATGTGTATAATAATATTTTTATGAAATCATGAATGACCATTAAGTATAATAATTATATTCATTTTAATTGAATTATTCATGAATATTGCGGGATGGTAATTGTGATGAATGATGATTAATTGTTGAGTATAATTTTAAAGATATGTATCTGATGATTAATATAAATGAATATATAATAAATGTGCATAATAATAAGATGATATGATTGTTAATCAGAGTATGAGACATTAATGAGATTGCTTTCACAATATTATAAGAATTTAAAGCTCCACTTATAAGAATTAATTTTGGGAAAATGAAGAAAGATAAGAATTGATTTAGGGAGGAAATATAAGGAATGTGGATAATAAGATAATAGGATTGCTAATCAAAATATGAGATATCAATAGGATTGCTTTCACAGTATTATAAGAATTTAAAGCTTCACATATAATAAGAATTGATTTAGGGAAATTAATTGTTGGGTATAATTTTAAACATATGTAGCTGATGATTAATAGAAATTAATATAAATAAATATATATGAAATGTGTATAATAATATTGATAAGAATTGATTTAGAGAGAATATATAAGAAATGTGTATAATAGGATTGCTAATCAAAATATGAAATATTAATAGGATTGCTTTCAGAATATTATACGAATTTAAAGCCTCACTTATAAGAATTGATTTAGGGGAAAAATATAATGAATGTGCATAATAGGATAATAGAATTGCTAATGAGACTATGAGATATCAATAAAATGTGCATAATATTATAAGAATGAATAAATATAATAATTGATTTAGGGAAATAAAGAAAGATTTTTGGTGGGAAAAAGAATATATGAATAAATGTGTATAATGATTTTTTTATGAAATTATGAATGATCATTAAGTATAATAATTATATTTATTTTAATTGAATTATTCATTAATATTCCAGAATAGTAAGGGTGATGAATGTTGATTTTAAACATATGTACATGGTGATTAATATAAATTAATATATAAGAAATGTGTTGATAATAGAATTGTTAATCAGAGTATCAAATATTTATAGAATTGCTTTCACACCACATCGTAATACTAATATTTTACAATTATTATCAACACTCTTTGCTTACAATCTCATGATTCTTTTTCTTAGGTAACATTACATCATACTTTAATTTTCTTCATTTCTCATTCTAAGTTTTTTAATATTCTGACTTTGTGATTTTTGTTAGAGATAGTTCATCATTTTCGAGATAATGTGGATGAGAATTTAAAGAATTATTTTTGTTTTTACATAATCACACTGCAATTTCCTGGAGGTAATGGTAATTGCATATGTGCGTAATAGGATAATCTTACAATCTCACGATTGTTTTTCTTCTTCTTAGGTAACATTATATTACATCATACTTTAATTTTCTTCATTTCTCATTCAAAGCTTTTCATTATTTTGACTTTGTGGTTTTTGTTACAGAGAGTTCATCATTTTCGCGATAATGTGAATGAGAATTTAAAGTATTATTTTTGTTTTTACATAATCAAACAACATAATAGGATAAGAATTATTTTTGTTTCCCTAAACTCATATATCTTTAATATAAATTAATATGAGAATATTATAATGAATGTGCATAATAGTATAATAGAATTGCTAATCATAATATGATTTTAGGGAAAATGAAGAAATATAAGAATTGATTTAGTGAAAATGAAGAAATTTTTTTGGATGGAAAATGAATATGAGAATATGTGAATATGATTAAGTGTTTGGTAGAAAAAATGAATGATTAATAAATGTGACATGCATATGTCATTTTGATGCATGATATGAATGTAGAGGGTAATGATACAATGTGAGACTATGCATGATAGTTGATGATTTGATATATGATATGAATGTAGATGATAATGATATAATGTGAGACTATGGATGGTAGTTGGTGAGAGTATCTGAGTGGGAAAACTTTGCATGAGAAGATGACATGTGTCCAAGACTAATAATTGAGAACTTTTTTTCTTATAATAGTATAATAGATACCTCATCAACACAATGTCCTTTTCCTGTGTCCATAAAGTCAATACTACAATCACATTACACCTCAATCCATACAACAATGCAACAACCCATAATATAAGCATTACCATTGTGCTATTCTCACATCTCATCACATAACACAATCATCAATTTCATTCACAAAATACCAATTCAATCCCACAATCACATTATATCTCATTTCCTTACAACAATGCACAACTCACAATATAAACATTATCACATAGAACAATCATCCAATTTTAGCACAATATTCTCATTCATACAAACAAATAGAGATATAACAACTTTTATGACGATGTATTACCATAAGCGAGTGTTTCGCATTATGTTCAACAAAACAGTTTTCATACACATATTTCCATGTATATGGCTAAATACATCTTCATGGAAGATTAAGATCTCTCTCATGGAAGAACAAGTTTCCAAGGGAGTTCCAATCCACAAAACTCTCTTATTCTTGAGGGAAATTGGAAATGATAACTTGAACGAAATACTCTAAGACCATAATGGTCTTCTCCCTCGCCTGTGTTTGTGTAAGTTCCATTCACTACAACAGACTTTGTATTTAGTGGAGGTTTTTTTTTCGATTAGTAGAGGTTTTTTAACCTCCACAATATAACTAGCGGAAGTTTCAGAAACCTTCACAGTTATGATCGATAGAAGTGTTTAGTGGAGGTTTTAGAAAACCTTTGGTATTGATAAATTTAGTGGTTTATTAGTGGAGATTTTTAACTTCCGCTATTTGAGGAGGTTTTTAACTTCTAACCTCCACTAATGGAGGAGGTTTTTGACGCATTTATCGTGGAGGTTGTAAACCTCCACAATATGAGGAGATTTTTGTAGTATTTACCATGGAGGCTTTAAACCTCTACTATTTGATAATATAACTACTATATATTTATATAGTATTTTAACCTTAATTTAATTTCATAATTTTCACAACTCTAATCTCATTAATTTATAATTATTATTTAAGTTTACAATACTAAATTCAAATGTTCTTTGCAATAATAAAATTTCATTTCAAATAACTAAGGTAGCGTAATGAAAGAGTTATAATTCATTTTTCATTATAAATTCAAATACACCATAAAATCTCAAAAAACTAAAAGTAGTCTCATGTGACACTTAAAAAAAAAAATACATAACAAATATCTTAAGTGTTGCTGGCTCCCGATGATCCTCTTGCATCCGAAGGTGTATCAGACACACTTGCATCATCATTTGCCTGAAATAATAAAATAAAATATCATTAACTATTAAGTATAATTTAACTATTAAATAAGTGAACATTAAAGATACGCATTAACGAAATATAATATACAGAGAATTCATATAACACATGTATCTTCTTATCCCATGTTCCCATGTCATAGTCATGTTCCTTATTTCTAGTGTTTTAATATGTCTTCTCCTTCTAACTTAGAAAGAAAGACAATGAGTATTCATAGTTTTCACAACATCTACATAATCAAAGGGAGAAGGAATAACACCAACAACAACTAATCCAGTGATATGTGTTATATCAGCCAACAGAACTGCGTTGCCTTCTGCTTATCACAGACCTAAAAAAATTTAGATGTAAATGATACAGTATCATCACCATCACTTAATTGTTTTAAACATCATATATCTATGTTCCTTGATCAGGTAGAGTTTACCTTGCGAATACGTGCATAATCATAAAGGTGAGCATAAGCACTGGCACCATCAACTATCAATTTTGGCCTAAAAAGTGCAGCACATTTCTCCAGCTGTAGATATTAAATAAATCAAGCCTACTCAATTCTAAGATCAAAGTATGCATAAAAGTATAAGCTTTGTAAACAAATACTAATCTAACTCTTCAATGTGTTCAAAGAGCAGTTGTTTTTCATATTTACACTCTGAAGCTTCCATGCATTGTCAGAATGTTCATAATGATACCACCTAACACAGAATATAAATGAAATTCAACTTACCTTCTATTAATGGCGTACCATGTGGCTTCATCCATTGCTTCAATTCCTTCAACGTGACTTTGCATTAATTTTTAAGTATACCAATTTGCAGGACAACCTATATCAGTTCCAACAATCAACCTTAATTGCAAAGTGTGGTGTAGTGAACGCAAGCAAGCATGGTCATACTCTGATCGAACAAATTCTCGAAGTTGTTGTAGTTTCACTAGTGATAAGTAGATAAACTATTAATCTCATCCACAAATCTATTGAAGGCATCTTCATATCTGAGATGTGAGCGATATACATATTAGTTAACAGATTGACTTTAATTCCGAACATTAACTAAAAGCACCTTGCACAAGCAATGTGCACAAATATTGCGTACACTAAATGTAGTCACTATACTTTATAGAAAGAGAGGCATACACATACTTTTTACTTGCTCTGGAGGACAGTGAAATAAATGCCAAGGTTCACTAAAAGTATTTGGGCCTTGGAAATGCAACCTGTGAACATGACTCTGAGATTCCTCACTTCTATTTGTTTCAATAATCTGAAAGGTCACATGAATACAATGATAAAATGGAAGTGTTGAAGAATGTTCTGAAGGTGGTTAATATTCATGAGATTCACAAGGAATAATAATACAGTTAGACAGATTAAAGGTCAATAAATCAATTTGAAGAGTTTCAAAATCTCGAGTCACATAAATATACAGGGAACAAGAAGACAAAATGAGTTATTAAAGTCAATCCTTGCAAGTAAGCATGCCTGCATATATTTGTCACAGTCTAGATATTTATCAAACTCAAACTTCTTTGCTTTAACATAGTAAATGCTTGTTTACCAAAAGGCAGAATTCAGCAGCTTCTTTCTGTAGCTTAAAACCATTAACACTCAACATAAAATAGCATATAAAAAAACTACTAGATAATAAGATTATGACAAACTAAAACAGAAAATATCAACAAAAAACTTCAAACAGCCGAAATAGCAAACCCTTTCCTGATTCTTCAGCTGCCAACCTAAATTCGTAATACCAAATTTCGATACTAAATATCACGCTTAAACCTTTAGCCTCCAAATTTGAAAATCATTTTAATATTATTAAATCCTAACTCAGCTAAATAAACATCAGTAACAGTTTCTCATTAAGATCAACCGGAGGAAGATTACAGTTACAAGAAGAAATTCATATACTCGTCCAAGCATTTTCACAAACACTTAGCATTCATGTACAATAACAGTTTCTTATTCAGTAGCCTCATGACAAATGTATCAACTAGGTAAACCATTACGAAATATCAAAGCAGTCCAATGTGTTCATATGCAAAATGCTGCATTATATTAAGGAAACCAGAGAAAATCTTTGGTAAATGTGCAACTATACAGTAAGAAGTATGAAAAACCGCATGATTTGATTGTGTATATAAGTTCATACTAAGAAAAATGAAAAAACCCTAACCTGAGATGATAGATTCAACTTTGGAGGTGGAGAAGGAGAGAACGATTGATAACCTGCTATGAAGGAGAGGAAGAAATAAGCTATGAAGGAATAAATATCATGCTTTATGAAAGAAATAGTTAACAAATAAGCATTTGATGTAATATTCTGTTCCAGCGAGAGAAGGAAAAGTCATATAAAATAGAGGTGTCAAAACGGGTTACCCGTACGGGTTTGGGTTAGCTCACATCGGGTTCGGGCTAAACCGGGCCGGACTAAAAAGTTTAGATACAATTTATGTATATGAAAATGTAGCTCAAACCCGCCCTAAGCGGGTTTCGGATTGTGGTGGGCCGGCCCGCATAATATTAAAAAAAAAATTTAACGTATTTAATTTATTTAATATTAGCGTGTCGACAGAAACTTCGTGTCTGCCGACCCGCATTCTTATTTTATTATATTAAGTATTCAATTTTTATATATTTTATTTTATACAATTAGAATGTTTTTGTATTAAAAGTATTTTATGTTAAAAATGTATTTATTATAATTTAATTTAAAGTGAGATAGATGGTTAATGTGCCAATGGTAGTTACTTATGATTATATGGTTTTTTTTGTAGAAATTAAAAAATGTAAGAGCAAAATAGGAAAATGAAAATTATATCATGGTGGTAGTTATTTCATGTTTTGTCTTTATATAGTATAGATATAGATAGATTAATATATATATAACATTTTTTTTTGAGTACCTTTGACACTACAGGTATTTAACAATGTGCAAGTTTATGAGGTTTAAATAATATAGGTTGGTTTACTTTGCATTATTTCAAAGATATAAAAATCACTCATCACTTTAAAGAATTGATTTTATTTGATTCGCATTCAATTATTCCCGGTTATAAATGTTTGAGTTATTAACTAATGATTTTTGTCAATAAAGTTTCTTGCCTTGTTACATTATACCAGTCTTATAATATGATCATAATACGTTTTTTTTGCATTTTAAATGATTTTTTACTGTTGTGTTATTATTAATCTTGGACTTTGGGAATGCATATATTTATATTTAATATGAAACCGGCGATTTTTGTCCTAAGGAAACAACCAAGTCAGTTTTCAAAATCTCCATTGGCTTTTAATTCCTTGTTCTCCAGGGATCAAAATTACAATGATCATCCTTAAGAATTGGCTTAATTAGACTTAATATTTTTTTTGTTTGAAGTATATTTTGAAACAAGAGGGATTTCATGAGTAAGGAAACATTATACAAAAATAATCACTAATGTGCTTTAAATTCTAATAATTTTTAATATACTATGTTTGATCATATACCTTTTGTTTTCAACGACTTGGTCATATTTTACTTAATTTTCTCTATTTATTACTAACCCTTTAAAGATTTGGTTTAATTATAATTAATATACAATATTTGATCATAGACAAATAAATCACTGATGATGCTGTTATCATATTTAATTATTTATTAATTTAATAGATAATTGAACTTATATATTGGATGAAACTATTGCCACTTAAAATGTCTATTTATACTCCTCTTTAACAATTTCAAGTTTTTAAATTAAAAATATATATTTGATTGGTTAGTGATGTATGAATAAAAAATTTGTAGTATAATAGCTCCCCTTAGGGAGAAAGGCTGCACAATTATTTACTAATATATATTTACTACAATAAGTTAGTATTTTGTTCTTTAATTCTTTCATAAATTAATATGATTTATGATTATTTGATTCCTAATATTCCACTATGTCATTTGTTTTATGTCAAATAATATTATGTAACAGAGGTTGCATCTTTCCACATGCCCATTCCATTTGAGTAAGTTTGTAGCTATTCATGTGACATAGTTTTTTTTTCTACTCACTCAAAATGTTTCCTCCTTAGAGTCGTTCCATAAACAAAAATTGAAGGTAACTTGTAATTTATAGAAATGGAGCTTATAACATTTGAAAGCTAATTTGTAGAAAGCTAATTTGTAGAAAGCTACTACAAGTATCATTTAGAAAGTGAAATCAGTTTTCTGTAATTCGCTTCCCAATTTTGCCATTCAATATTTAAAAAAATTACATGCATTACATACCCTAAATTTAAAATTATATTAGATACCCTAAATTTAAAATTACATTAGATGTCCTTCAATATTTTCCCACAAGTTTTTGTGTGATTTATATACATTATTATTGTATTTGATTGTTAGATGAATGTATAAAATATTTTCTTATTATATATTTTAATGATATATAATGTCAATAGTGGAAGAATATTATAAACTTATTTAACTTAATTACACTTTTTGAAAAAATAATTATTGAAAACAAAAAATAAATAAAATAAAGCAAACAAATAAATAAAATATTAAATTTCCAACTAGAACTAAAATATAAAAATAAATAATTGTTTTAAATTATCTATGTATTTAATTACTCCAATTAATAAATAACTAATATATTTCTTTTTTAATGTAGATTTCTTTAACATTTTTCACCTATGACTATAATAACATCTTTTAGAGTACTAATATCGCTCAATGTAATACATGATTTTGCAGTACTTCAAATAATGTTTGGACTATTTTTTTAAATTGTGATTTGGAATAAGAATTCTATACAAAAACAACTTAAGTTTTTAGACACCAATGTTTGGCACAACAGTAGAAATGGTTACAGATAGGATTGGTGTAACGCCCCGAAAAATACACCTAAATTTTAATGCGGAAAAATGGGTAAATTTTTTTTTTTTGAATTGGTGATGTAAAAATATTGTTTCCTTTTCGGGACATCACCTTAAGTAACATACTATGCGGAAATCACTAACTGTTACCTAACGGTAACTGGAATGATACAATACTTCCCTGGAATTTACTTCATCATTAAACAGTTAGTATTTATACAAAATATCTATTCATGGCGGAACGTACACATCGCCCAACTAACATATCAAAATGTTATACTGCACATCACCCCAAAACATGCACAACAAAAAGAACAGCAAACCCAGAGCTCAACGGCTAGATACGGCACTACTAGGAGTGCTAGAACACTCACTGTGATCCTCCTCTGTGCCAGAGTCGGATGAGAGTTCTATCAACTCGATGGAACTCTCTATGTTCACCAACTCTATCACTCCATCCTCATCAGCATTCGCATCAGCCTCTATCTCAGTTGACTCATCCTCCGTCGGATCCGACGAGGAGCTTGGAGGGTCGGGAAGGGTTCTCCGTATACGCGTAGAGTTCCCGTCCATCTGTCCAAATTATAAACAAGTACAAGGATAGACAAGTAGAGAGAGTAAGACATCTAATGAACAAAATTCATTGATGGCGTGGACTTACTCTGAATAGGACACTCAGACAAAAATATACTTTTCATAACATGCAATTCAATCATCTGACAAACCACATAATAATATACAGTCATCGTACAGTATAAATATATCGTCGTAATCAATATATCAAGGATCTCACATGCACAATACTAAAGAGGAATAATTATTATATCTCAAGTATAAAAATAAACGTTCGTGCAATGCAATGTATGAATGTTATGTCATTTCATCCACCTTACACCATTATCCACCCAAATAGCCTATTCGGAAACAACCGAGAGTACAAGTCCCATACCAAGTCGATTGTACGCACCAAAATAAAATAACATCCTCGCAAGGATGAATGATCGATCTGTTCCAAAGGAACTGTCCATAACAGGACGGTGTCGTAGCAACACTTTCTGGGCATCCCTCTCATCGATCACGATTGCAAATCGAGGGGTCGTAAGAGATTGTCTAGTTTGCGTTGTGAGAACTGTCTGATCCAACAGGATATCCTCTCCTAGGAATATAAGAGACTCGTCTCACCTAGACTCTCCCTCAAGGCTTTGTTGACGAACCACCGTCAAGCAAAGTCGCCCTCCTTGCATCTTAGTGCTCATACGTCATCCTGTAATGTTTCCTCTCTACTACTTCGTTATTCATAATGCATATGCTCTCTAATCGAAGTTAGCAAAATCCGAACTCTTAATCATTCTTTTATATAATCGGCCCATCTTAAGACATCTCCTAAAGGATGTCCGTTCCAAAAGGAATGCTTC